GAGGCTTGTGGTGGGTAGAGAGTAGGAAATCTGGCTTGTCCTAGGACGTCCCACAGAGCTGGCGCCCTGCTGCGCCCCTGGTGTCCCAGTCACTGGGACACATGGTGGTGAGGCTGATTTGGATGCAACGCACCCAGATTTCCAGTCTGCTTGCGTCTCAGGGAAAGGTCTGCCTTGCCACCTCTTTACTTTGATGGCGAGTGACTGATGACTCTAATGGGCTCTGAGGTGACACAGATCTGTGATAAGAACAGTGGAATTTCAAGCATCAGCAAAGAGTTAGGATACGTCACAGCACTTCTGAAAGCATACTTCTTAGGCAACCAAGCCCTGCTGGACATATGTTTACAGAGCCTGTCTGTGTCTAAATCTGGGTTGCTGCCAACTCTCATGGGGGGCTTAAGAAGGAGGACCATGCAGCCCTTACTCGAGGTAAGAGGACATTTGCCAAAGCCCATTTGCATTCATCATCTTATTTTCTACCCACAAGAACCTGGTGAGAGAAATGCCATTTCAGGGCGCCTGGGTGGCTCAGATGGTTAAGCGTCTGCCTTCGGCTCGGGTCATGATCCCGGGGTCCTGGGATCGAGCCCCACATCGGGCTCCTGGCTTGGCGGGGAGCCTGCTTCTCCCTCTCCCTCTGCCTCTCTCCCTGCTCATGCTCTCTCTGTGTCTCAAGTGAATAAATAAAATCTTTAAAAAAAAAAAATAAATAAATGCCATTTCAACCCATTTTGTAGATATGGGAACTGAGGCTGAAAGCTTTTCAAATGGAGTGTATGGCCCAGGAGACAGGGCCCGTGTTTGCTGAGCACGTGTTATGTGTTCAGCCCTGGCTATCGCAGACACAGTGTCCATCCTCATGGAGCTTCTGGTCTAGCCTTGGGGAGGGCTTGAAGAGTAGCCATGTAGAACAAGGAACAGCTGCAAACTGACACAAGGATCTGGAGGAGAACCAGCTGTTCTAAGAGGAAACAGGACAAGGCCGACGCAGGTGGAGGGGGGACACCTCTCTGAGAAAGCGACATTTATGCTGGGATTGAGGCAGAGTCAGAGGAAGAGCTCCAGGCAGAGGGGCCAGTGTGTGCAAAGGCCCTGGGGTATGAAGGACCTGGCATGGTCCTGGAGCTGAGGAGCATCCAATGTGTCTGTGGGGAGGTGAACAAGACCCAGACCTTTACAAGGCCCCCCCATGATGAGCCACATTCCTGGTCCGGAGCTGGACTCCAAGTCAGGGTGCTGACTTCAGTCCAGAGACCTCTCCGTACCTCCCTCGGGCGTGGTCAGCCCCAGCTTTGGGCAGCGCCCCACTCTGCTACAAGGAAACCCCTCAGCTCTGCCTGACCTCCTCATCTGTCGGGATCCCCCCACTGTGCAGACAGCCCCACCCGTGTGGCCTTGTGCTCCCTGCCTGGTGTGGACCCTTCACCTCTCCTGGACCACCCCCTTCCTTGAGCCGACAGGCAGCATTCCTCAGAGCCGGGGAGTGGGGGCCGTGAGGGGTAAGCTGAGGGAGGGCTGTGCAGGCTTTCAGGAGCATTACATCTGGAGAGGGAGACCGGAATGTTTGTGTCTGAAATTTAGCTAATATCCTAGGAATTTCTCCTGGCGGTTCAGAGGGTTCCTAGGGGGACTGCAAAGCTGGGATGTCTGGGTTCTGGAGGCGGGCTGGCCTCACTCAAAGCCTCTTTGTCTCCATGGCTCTGCCTGTGTCGATCTGGCTATGCATCTGGGTGTCTTTGTGTGTGTGTCTGAGTGTCTCCCTGGGTGTGTATCTTTTTCTGTTGAGAGCACATTTGTGTCTGTCTGTGTGCATGCCAGTGTGTGTCTGTGGGCGGATACATGCCTCTGTGAGTCTGGGAGCGTGGGCCTGTATATGCCTGTTGTCTGTGTGTGTGTGTGTGTGTGTACCTGAGTGTCTTTCTCGGTCTAACTCATGGTGTGACTGGAGTCTGTGTGTCTCTCTGTTTCTTGGTATGTGAGTGGGTCAGTCTCTGGCATCTGAGTGTCACCTAGAGCTTGCCGACGAACACATCCATCTCTCCCCTTTGCCTTTGCAGAGAGGTGTGATTCTTTCTGGGACACGGGATTCGGTCCTTGTCCCTCTCCGTCCACCGCAGGGCTAGGGCTGGGCCTCGCGTTCCCTGTTGGTAGGGAGTAGCCTCCCGAGAAAAGAGGAAGAAGGGTGCGAGAGAGAGAGCTGGGAGACGGACTCCTCTGTGTGTGTGTGTGTGTGTGTGTGTGTGTGTGTGCGGCCATGTATTCCTCTGTCCAGCCAGGGAAGGGTCCTTGCAGGCCCAGCCCTGCCTTCAGCCCCCACCACAGAGAAATGACTCCTTCAAGCTGCCCAGGGGTTCTATGGCCCTGAAACCTGAGTCATGGCTCACACTCCCATCCTCTCCCTTCCACCCATTTGGTCACAGAGCATTTCGGAATACATCTTCCAGCTGAGTCCCCATCTCCTCCCTCCTCCCACCATGCCCTCGCCTCCCCCAGCTCACACAGACATACACACAAAGACACCCAGATGCTTTGTCCTGCCCCCACCCTCCAGTCCTATGTGGCCACATCCATGGGCATGTCACACTTCCTGGAGCATCTCATGGCTTCCCGACTCAAAGGACCCCTCCTTACAGGCCTCACGGAGCCAAACCTACCACTTCTGCCAGCACGTGTCCCTGGACTCCCCGGCCTGGGGAGAAGGCTCCTTTCCCTGAGCCCCTGGCATTTGTTCCTGCCGGCCTCAATGACTGTCACCCCTGAGGCTGGAGTTGTCCGCCTCCCGGACCTCTCTCTCCCTGTAGACTGGAAGAGACAGGGCATATTCGACTCTGTTTCCCACCCCAGCCTAGAACACAGCAATCTCCACAGTACCTGCCCGGGACAAGATGGCTCCCAAGGCCTCCTGAGGTCGGTAAGGAAGCTGGGGGCTTGATTTCCCATGATTCCCCAACAGCCTCTCTCTCTACCTTCTCCTTTAGCACGTCACCACCCCCCACGGGCAGCATGCTAACACCCCGGCATGGGCCCAGACACCTTGGACCCTGCCTATGCTCAGCATCCTTTGAAGCCAAGCACAGGCCACGTTCTGCCACATCGCTGAGAGCTGCCCCCTGGCCTCGCAGCCCCAGAGCCTCCATCATGCAGCCAGGATCCTCTTAGGGCCCTCCTGCCCCACTGGAGACAGGGAAACATCACCCGTCCTGGAAACATCTCAAACATGTGGATAGTCTATTTTAAATGTTTTATTTTTTTATGTGGTGTATTAGTTTTCTAAGGCTGTTGTAACAAATACCACAAACTGAGTGGCTTAGAACAATCCCGAAAGCCAGAAGTTTGGCATCAAGGTGTTGGCAGGGCCGCGCTCCTTCCAGAGGCCCCAGGGAGGATCCTTCCTTGCCTGCTCCAGCCTCTGGGGGTTGCTGGCAGTCCTCGGCATTCCTTGGCTTGTAGACATATCCCTCCAATCCCTGCCTCTGCCTGCAGGTGACTTTCCCCTGTGTGTATCTGTGTCTTGGATCTCGGCCTCCTTATAAGGTCCACCCAAAATCCAGAATGATCTCTTGTCCTGATCCTTCACTTAATGACATATGCAAAGGCCCTATTCCCAGATGAGGGAATAGTTCACATTCCCAGGGGCTGGGTGTTAGGACTTGGGCGTATCTGGTAATGGGACGTAATTCAACCCACTTGGGGCAGTTATAGTGCTAGAAACTCAAAAATACCCCGTTGACCCAAGCAGTTGCTGATGACAAACAACAGAGCCCCCAGGATTGTCTGGGTTAGAGGTCGCCTAGCACGCTGGCAGTGGGCCCCCCACATTGGAACCACTGCAGAGACAGGCAGCAGCCCCTGCCCCGTGCGTGCTGGCTTATGAGGGGGCTGTCAGGAAACATGGCAGGAAGGATGATGTGTCCGCTTGAGGCTGCCTCCTGCTCTCGTGCTCTCCTCAAGGCTTCTGCACTTTCTGACACAGAAGAGTAGATCCTGGCGAAAGGAAGACGAGCTCAGGAAGGGAAACGGAGCAAGGGCTCCCAGGCCATCGGCAGCCAGGCTCTCCCCAGGATGTGAATGGGGTGGTGGCAGAGTCCTGGTTCCAAGATCCTTCTGCTAGCGTCACTCTTTACACCGTGGCCTTGAGGAGGCCGTCCAGCGCTCCGGGCGTCCGCCATGCGGTGGATCGCTAATGCTGGCCCCACCTGTCTCAAGGTTACGTGAGGCTTAAATGAGTCTGTGGATCTGAGCGATGCGTGCCCGCGGAGGCCAGGGCTGTTTTCATGGTTAAGGAAGTAGCAATGTCGGGGGTCCAGCTAGAACAGCAGTGGGCAGCGTGCTTTGTATGAATTCTTGACCCACCAGGACATCCGAAAGGCAGGCAAGTGGCATTGCTGTGCATCGACTCTCTGCCAGGCCTTCGGCAAGGCCATGGACTGGGGCGCCTCACTTAACTCTGCCAGGGGCCCTGCCCGGCACGGGGGTTCAGAAACCCATGTTTTTTTCAGAGGAGGGGAGTGGAGGACAAAAATCGACCAACATCACATCCCCAGAAGGCTTTCGAGTGTCTACAAAGAAGTCCCTAGAAAGTGGCTTGAGGTGAGGGCCAGGGCGATGGACGGGCAGGTTTAGAAGCTCAGGTTCATTAGGAGACACGGATAGAAGTCTTGGAGTCAAAAGAAATAAATAAGCCGCTGATTTCCCCGGAGGGGGCTCAGGCCACCTTTCATTATTTCATTGGCTCAGGAGCCAAAACAGCTGCATTTTATCATTCCTCAGAAATCCATAAAAGGGATGGAAAATGCTGGTGCTTGTGGGGAAAATGGATGAGCACTTAAATTTAATTGTGGCCCCCGCTGCTCCATGATGGGGCCTGAGATATCCCCTACCAGGTCACCAGGAGAGTAGTGGAGAGAAATGCTTTGCCTCTAGCCCCCAGCCCACCCTGACCACACCTTCCTCTGGCCTCCCACAGCGTCTGTCCCCGCCCTCCCCACTCCCAGGTGGCTGTCCTGAGTTGCTTCTGTGTTGGTATGCCTGGCCTCCCGCCGCAGACTGGGAACTCCACGCGGCAGCCTGGCTGGCTGGGTTCTCCCGGCCACTGTGGGCCTGCACACAGTCGCTCCTGCAGGCCCGCCCCCCTCCCCGACGAGGGCTCACCTGGCATTCCCAGCTCAGCCTTCCTGGCTGGAACGACCAGCCTGAGCTGCAAGCGTGGGCTTTAGCCAAGCCTCAGGTGCTGACTTTGTGATCTGCAGGATGCTCAGTTGTTGGGTGTGCAAGAGACTCCAGGACTCGTGAACTGGATGGTTCTACAACCTCCGTGAGCATGTGGATGACCTGGGCCCTGGGAAAATGCTGATTCTAATCCAGTGGCCTGTGATTCAGCCCTTCTAACAAGCTCCCCAGGGGCTCCGATGCTGGCACTTTGCAGATCCACCTTGAGTCACAAGGCTCTCAGTCATAGATGGGTAAACTGAGCCCCAGAAAGGGGCAGAGAGTTGCCTGGGGTTATGCCATAAAAGAGAGTGGCCGAGAGGGACTCTCGCCCAGGGTTCTGTCCCCTGTTCCAAGGTTCACAAACTCAAATGCCTCAGGGATTGGAAAAGCAGACAAACCAGTGCCAGCAAATCTCCCCGGTCTGCTTGCCTCGTGCCGTGGCAGGGACCCAGCCTTCCGGCTCCGGCGTGCCGGGGCCAGAACAGGTCGCCCCCGGGCGCAGCCCCACTCTGGAGAAGGGCCCAAGGAAACAGGCCCTATTTCTGAATGGCAGAGTGGAGAATGTGAGCTTTTGCGTCTGGCAAACTTGGGTCCCGATGACAGCTCCATGCCCCCTTGACTATAGCCTCCACCAGCCTCAGTTTCATTGTATGTACGGTGGAGATAATAGTGGTGCAGACCCCCCAGAGGCTTCATGCCCATAGGATGAGATGCAGAGGCAAGTCCCTGATCCAGGGCAGTGGCTCAGCCAAGAGGAGCCCCTGTCCTGGTGCCTGTTCCTCTGACCGCGCTCTGCATGCCTGGCCAGCTTCCAGGGGCTCTTACATGCTGCAGACACCGTCCATGGTCCGTTTGGTACTAAGAGCCCTTTATCCTGGCTGGGTCTCCTCTCCCACCCCCACCTGATTTCCTGCTACCGTGTTTACCCAAGCTCTGGCTTTTCCTGGAGATGCCTGACTCTGGAGCAGAAGCTTCTCAGCAGACGATGTAAAGATGAAAGGTGTGCTGGACTGGGAGCGGCTGCCTGGAGCACTGTGGCCTGAGAGGAGCTCTGAGACAGGTTCACGATCAGGGAGCGGAAGTGCAGTGATCAACTAGTGATGTCTGCCGTGGGCTCAGAAGTGGGGAGGGATGGCATGTGTGCCTACTATTTACCATCCCTTGTACCCTGGCCGCTTACCCAGGCAGCCCCTCTGGCAGCTCTTCACCATCCGCTTTCTTATTCGATGACTCCTCAAAGCCACACTGTGAGGTCAGAGGTACCCCTGTGTGATAGGGGAGAAAATCAGAGACAACAAGGAGGTGAAGTGACTTGCCAAAAGTCCCCAACAAACCCCAAATGGAGGACCAGAGCCGGTTTTGCCTGAGTTCCCTTCCCATACTTTGCCTGCTGGCCTCATTTCTCCCTGGCCTCGAATGGCCAAGGCCTGGGGTCAGGGCGCGATCCCATGGTGCACCCGGACATGCCCAGTGTGGTGTTTGGGCCCTCACTCTCTAAGCCGGTCCACTTACGTATCAGAGAGAACACAGCCTTGGGGTCTCAAGACCAGCCTTTTTGACCCTGGGAAGTGCTTCCCCATGTCTAGGCCTCAGTCTCCCCACTTATATGGTGAGGTGACTTGTGCTTCCTACGAAATCAATGCACTGGATGATGGAGTTTAGACCTGAAGTGCTGGCTTCCCAGGAGACAGCTCACAGCTCTTACCCCTGTCTTCCTCTTCCCTCGCCCTCAGGCGGCCCTGATCCCTGCAGCTTGGAGAAGGGCCTCTGACCCCTTTCCAGCCTCCTGCATGGGCTGTGGCTCATTCACAGGCCTGTACACAGCCCCTTGAGCAGTGTCCTGCTGGCCTGCAGAAGGGGAGGAGCGCAGGAACCTCACACCGGCCCACCCCCACCACCCTGAGATTCTGCCAATGCCAACACCCCAGGAAAACCTCCCTGTCCCTTAAGCCACCCGGTGGGGCCAGGCTGGGCCCAGGCCGCTGCTTTGCACGGGTGTCCAGGGTCAGAGCCCTCTCCTGTATGCCCAGGGACTCAAACTGCTGCTTCTGCCCGGTGAGCCCCAGGGGCTGGTGGCACCTGCCCCGAGCTGCGTCACCTGGCGGGGGAGTGGGATGAGGTCACGTCTGCACTGGGACTCTGCTGTACTGAAAGAAAGCTCTTTGCACATGTGGCTGAACCTTTAGTTAGTTATTTATTTTTGTTTGCAGCTCTCAGCCCAGCTCAGCAAAGCAGGTCATGAAGGGGAGAAGCTCATGTCTTTCCTGCTGCCTGACTCCCGTGAGAAGGACCCCAGGTTACAGTTCTGGGTTTTTCAAGTTAAGAGTAGCACCCAGGTTGGAAACTCATGGAGCCAAAGAATGTCTTTGGACCAGGAAAGATGATAAGCTACCCAAAGGGGTTGGGGGTGGGGGGTGGAGTATCCTAGGGACAAGGTTGAGATGGCAAAGGGAGAAATAGAGCATTAATTTAGCACCTACTGTGTCCTAGCAGGGACTCTGCTAGACAGTGAGCTCATTTATTTTCCAATCAACGTGGGCTGGTGCACTCAATCCCATCTGCACAGAGAACTTGTAAACATCACCGGTGGTTCTAATTTAATGGTTCTGAGTGGGTCCCAGGCCTGGTATTTTTTAAAGCTCCCCAGAGGATTCTCATGTGTAGCCGGGAGTGAAAACGGTGGCCCAAAGTAAGGGCTTCTCAAAGTTCAATGCGCATGGGAATGAACCTCACGGACCTTGTTAAAATACAGATTCCAGTTCAGCAGCGCTGGGACAGGGCTGAATGTCCCTGATTCTATTCGCCTTCCAGGGGATGCCGAAGCTGCCAGTCCTCCGCATTTTGAGTAGCAAGGGTATGTAGACTGTCAACTCCATGCTAGCCAAGACTCTCAGGGGTGCCCTGCTGGATCCCAAGCACCACCAAACAGCACTGGAACAAAATAGCCACAGAATAAATATTTCTCAAAAGCATAAAGAAATGAACAAACCTTGGAGGTGGGTGCTGTGTGGCTGCCCTTTTATGTGTGAGAAAGCTGAGGTGAAGTCAATGCCAGGAGTAAAACGGGCTTGGCCAGGGGCTGACCTGTGTGGGCGGGGGCCCACCGGGTGACGTGAGACTTGGAGGCTCAGGCATGACGGTAGGGAAGTCAGAGCAGGCTCTGGGTTTTCCCGGCATCCAGCACCCATCAGCTAACTCGCCCCAGGAGGTGGGGCTCACTGGGGGACTGCACACAAGCCACTTAATGTCCTTTCACTCTCTTTTCATCTGAATGGTGGGAGCAATCATATTTTTTTTTTATTCCAAATGGTTATTTTGAGGATTAAATGAGGCCATGCACAGACTGAATATTAGATGATATTAAGAATTATTGTTTACTTTTTTAGGTATGATAATAGATCTTTCTTTTTTTTTTTTTTCTAATTTGGTATCCAGTAGCAACACACACTGAGGTGTTTACAGGTGAAATGACACAGGATCTAGGATTTGCTTTAGACATTCCAGCAGCGAGGGAGGGAAGGACACAGAGAAGACAGAAGAGGAGGAAGAAAAGAAAGTCAGCAGGGATAGATGCTCAGTCACTACAGAAGCTGGGGGAGGGCCCAGGCTTCATTACCAGCCTGTCTGGTCTTGATTACCTTCGAACATTTCCACAATCAAAGGTTCCAAATAATAAATTAAAAAGTGATGAGACAGGTCACATGCTTGCCTTGGCTCCTGATTCATAGCAAGTGTTCAGCGAACATGGGCTCTTGTTCCTTCCAGGTGAGTGGGGCTGGGACCACGAAGGCGAGGCAGCAGGTAGGGCAGGCGGGCCGGGCGCACCCGGACCCTGAGTGATGCGCCTGGCGGCCGTTGTCAGCAAGAGCAAGGCTGCGATGTGAAAGCAGGCCTTCACGAGGCTCAGCCCACAGGCCCACAGGGCTAGAGAGCGGCGTTAGTGTGCCTTCTGGAACAATTAGCAGCAGGGCAGTGGGAAACGGTCTAGCCACTAAGGAGGACCGACTCTACCGGGCCTCCGCTATGTAGGTTAATGCCCAGGAACCCTATGAGGCAGATGTCATTCTTCCCACTTCGCAGATGAACAAACGAAGACCGGTTGTTAAAGTGCTTGGGCCAAGGACTCACCGTGTGCCACCGGGCCTCCCCAGCATGCAGGGGGCAGTCCCCCTGGCCCCCTTCCCTCATCTGCATCATGTACTTTGTGGCCTGCTTTGGCTCAGGGCTCTCATCCTGGTCTTGGCACCCGGGGTCCCCTCCTGCCTTCGCCGTTCTCAGCTGTCCCCGAGGCCCGCTCACCCAGGGTCAACACATTTTCACCGGCTCTGGCCTGCCTGCCGGCTCCTGGCAAGGGTGCCCGGGCCCTCTGAAGGCACAAGGCCTCCCTCCCCGGCCCTCCCTGTCTGAAGCCGGCCGGCGGGGTGGGATTTCCGTCCTGGGCCTGGCTGTTACAAGTGCAATGCTGCTCACCCCTCTGGGCTGCACACCAAGTCCTGCTGCAGACTCCACCGTGAATAGCAGCCATTCTTCGCCCAAGCTCCCGCTCTCCACCAGCGCGCGGCCCGGGAAGGGAGACCTCAGCCTTCCCCAGGCCTGTAAACACCGAAGCCACACACGCGGCAGGGCCCCAGCAGCCAATAAAACTTGGCCCCAGGGTTCTCTGAAAGAGGCAGCGCCAGGGACAGACAGCAGGCCAGGCCCTCGGTGGGGGCAGTGACACTTAGTAGCCAGCACCCCGCCCACCTGCCCTTCGCCCAGCCCCAGCGTGCAGAGAGGGAAAGCACACGTTTAGCAGACATTCTCCCCAGCAGCCTTGCTGCCTTGTTTCATAACATTTAACTTTTTTTTCCTCTGCCGCTCACCCCGGGGACAGGGTCACGTGGAGACCCACCGGTGGGAGTGAACACAGGATTCATTTTCCGGAAGCCGGAGCCACGGGGCCCGTGGAGAGAACCTGGTGGGGACACGGAGGGCTCTTGGGCTCTGCACCAAGCGAGCGTCAGGGAGGCCGAGGCGGGCAGTTGGGGCCAGATGGGGAAGCACGGAGGCGCGCTCTCCACGAGCAGCCTCTGTCCCGAGCAGGCGGGCCTACAGGGCTGGCGGATGACAGCTGGACATGGACTGCGGGATGGCACTCTTGCCTTCCGCCCCGGAGAAAAGTGAGGCCAGGGACATCCTAAGGGGCAGGTGGCTTGCCAGGTTTCCAGGGCAGAGCCAGGCCTAGATGCTCCTTCTCTATTAGAGAGGTTTTGTTCTTGGATATGAATATATCTTGATATGAGGACTGATGTTTAATCGCATTCCCCTAGACATGGTGGGTCCAGTCATTTCTAGAATCGGGTTCCCATGTGTTCATGAGCCCACTAGACAAAAGTCTTTCCAGGACACCCAGGTCTGCATGGAGACGGCAGTGTGCAGCCTGGTAAGCAGTCTGTGCGCCCCTTCTCAGTCTGCACCTGGCACCAGGGGTTAAGTCTCACGTGCGGGGGAAGACGTGGCTTCGGCCCTAAGGAAGGGCACGATCGGGCTGTCAGCCCCAGCCCAGCTCTGCGCCCCGTGATGGCCTGTGCTGGGCACTGGGTAGACTCTCACTATCACTCACAGGCAGAGGACAGAGGGGCCAGGTGAGCGAGAGATGGCACACGGGATGCCCTGTCCGAGGGGTGGGATGTGGGCCTGGAGAGAATACGGGATTAGTTGGGTTTCAAGGATCCGAGCTGGAGGGCAGAGCAAGGAGCTCCTGCGAAGCAAAGGGGCCAGAAAGCCCACTGTGTGTGCATTCTGGGCAAAGTGGGTAAGGTTGCCCGAGGGGAAGAAGTAGGGCGTGAGAGAGCCTGGTCCCAGACTGCTTTTCCAGCCTCTGAATCCATCAATGAACAATACTCTCTGTATAACTACCCTTAAATCCCAAACTCTCGTTTTACAGATGAGCAAGCTGAAGCCATGGTGGACAAAGCCACTACCGAAGGTCACCTGGGTAATTGGGGTCAATCCAAATCAGGAAAGGTGCCCCTGAGCTTTGCCTTGCATGTGTGATTTTATTATCCCTGTGTAGGCAACTGGTGAATGTGGAAATGGAGTGTGTTTGCTTGTGTTTTGAGGAAATGATTAACTTCTGACCTACTGACCTAGGTTACCTGGTTGCCAGAATGTTATTCACCTGGTGGGTCACCTGGGCCAAGAAGGACTTGAGAAAGGGCCAGAATCTCTGCGCTAGCCCTCCTCTGCACCCAGGCACCATGGAATGTCCAAACTGGGAAACCTGAGAGAGCACCCATCCCCCACTTGGGGAGAACATGGAGGCTCAGAGAGGGAAAGGGACCAGGCTGATGTCACACAGCTGATGGGAGACATGCACAGATGCCCCCAGACCACGGTGCATACAGCACATTCTTGAGAAGAAGATCGATGATCCAGCTGACAAGTAGCATTGGCTCAGAGCCGGCTCTGCCCAGCCTGGCTTTCCAGCCTTGTATGGTGGGGAGGGGGGGTCCAACACAGAAGGCTGTGATGGCATTGATCACCCCGGACTCTGGTGCTGGGTTTTCATACCCGACCCTCTTCAGCCTTCATTACAAGCCCTGGGAGGCAAGCCCATTTTGTTGTCAGGCCCATTTTACAGAGAAGGAAACTGAAGCTCAAATTTACAGAGAAAGGACACACAGTTTTTAAAATGTTTCAGTGAGGCTTCCAACACACTCCTTCTGACTCTAGAGTCTGTGTTTCCTCTCTTTCTCCCTCCCCACATCGTCCTGCCCCGATGAGTTCTTATTCCTGCAAGAATGCCCCAAGAGTGGGGAACTGGCCCCCTGTTGAGCTCTGCTTTTAAAGGTCTTTTACAAGTGTCTGGACAGGACGACATCCCGTGGAGACGGGTGGCCAGGGGTGGGGTTGAGGGTGAGCCAAGCCAGCGTTTGCTGCCAGGTCACCTCTTCCTGGGTCTGGGGAGAAAGGAAGCCGTGAGCACAAGTCTGCAGGTCAAGTCTGCAGGCTGCAGTGTGGCCTCTGGGCTCTTGTGTAAACAAAAGGTCCCCAACTCTCTCTCCCTCGTCCCGTTCCCCGCGTTCCCAGTCTTGCAAGATTCGGCAGCATCTGGGAAGGAGGAAACAAAAATGTCCTTCTCCATGTACAATCCCCCATGCCCAGGAATTTTTCAGCTGTGACACCAGACGCCGTTCAGGACCTTGCCAACCATGAAAGTTTCTGCAGAGTCCAGCACAAATAACTTCCCGTCATTAGCACCCAGGGGACGCAGGAACCCTCGAGCGTATGGTTGCCCTAACCTCAGTCGTCCTGCACAGCCCCCTTGGCTCACTCCATCTAGCCTCTAGCTTCTACTACCTGGACAGATCCGTCTCCATCAAGTCAGTATAATTTTCAGCTCCCATAAACGCATTTTAAAAGAACATTTCGTATCACTCTCCTCAAAGAAAAATGCGTATTTTTCTAAAACTGAAAATGACTATGAAAATGTGTGAAACGGTGTCTATGTCCCAGCCTACATCACCTCACTCACCCCGGGAATGCGGCTTTAGCTCGGCCCCCTCCCCCCGCCACCCAGCCCCACTTACACGCTTGTCTGCTGCAGCAATGCTCAGGCACCCTCACGACAAGGGCTCAGTGGCACACCTGTCCCCCTCGGCCCTGCCAATCCTGGGCCAGAGCCTCCTCATGTCCTCGGCCCCATGCTCCTCCTCAGGACCGTCGCTGGCACTTGCATGTTCAGCTGCGGGGGCACACCACTGTTCAGCACGCAGGGACCCCGGGGCCACACACTAGGAGGGCAGTGGGACGCCGTGCCGGGCCATTTAGTGCCCACAGCGCCATGCATAACCTGTCATCAGGATGCATCCAGCAGTTCGTCCTCTACACACGTCTTAAGAACCCAGTTTCACCGCTTAGTTCCAACTCCAATGTTCTCCCTAAAGCCGCTCTAAAGAAAGCCCTAGATTTCTCTCACCAACTAGATTCCTCTGAGATGATCCTTGGCAAGACCCTATTTGTCTCAGTCTGGGAAACAAAGCTCCCTGAGTGGCTATTCCCTCTACCTCTCTCTCTCTGCCTTCTCTCTGTCCTGCTTTCCTGATGCACCAATCCCTACACACTGCCATCTCCTTTCCAGTCCCACTGTGTTTGGCACGGGAACGACATTGGGTGAAATGCTTGGATGAATGAGGATGCCCTCAGCTGAGCCACCTAGCCCCGTGTTCTTCCTCCTCCCTGAGGGCGAGCACAACTGGCCAAAGGACTAGGAATAGTCACCTAACCTTAACTGAGCACCTACTGCATTCTAGGCGCTGGGCTGGGGCTTTCTCACTCATATTGTTCCACGAGGGGCCACAACAAACTGGTCAGCTAGGCTTTCAAAATTACACAGATGCCTCTCACTTCCCACCACCTCCTCCGGTCCCTCCGGGTCCAAGCCACCATCATTGCTCCCCTGGAGCAGGGCAACAGACTCCTAAGGGGTCTCCCCTCTTCCATCCTTGCCTCCCATACCCCCTGCCTTTTCTTAACACGGTGGCAAATGTCCCTGTTAAAAATGTAAATGAGATCATGTCTCTGGTGTAACGAGCTTCCATATCTCCTTATGTTGTTCAAAGCAAAAGCCAAAATCCTAACAAAGCCCTACCTGGCCTGCCCCACCATCTCACACCTGTCTCTTCTCTCCTGCTCCTCTCTGCCTCACTCACTCCATCCCAGACACCGGGGCTTCCTTACTATAGCCAACCCACTGGGCATATTTCTGCCTAAGGACTTTCTCATTGCTGTTCCTTCTGCCTGGAGCCCTAATCCTCCAGGAAGATGCCAGGTAGATATGAGGCACCTCACCAACTCCTGGTCTGCCCAAAGGGATCTCAGTGGCTCCTTCTCTGGACGTCTTACCTGAAATGGCATCCCAACCCTGACATTTCATATTCCTCTGCCCAGATGGAGTTTATCTCCAAGTATTTAGCACCATTTGATATTAATATGTAATTGACTAGTCAGTGTCCCTCTCCCTACCACCTCCTCTAACCTGCCCCTCCCTATCAAGACATCAGCTCCCCAAGGGCAGGTACTTTTACCTGTTTTGTTCTCTGGGATGTCCTCACACCCAGTGATCAGCTGAATCCAGAGGGATATGGGGACTATGGTACATTTATTTATTTATTTATTTATTTATTTATTTATTTATTGAGCAGTCTGAGGCTCAGAGAAGTTAAGAATGCTGCCAAAGATCACATGGCTGGTAAGTGATGGAGTTGTTACAGACACTCTGATCTATCTGTCGTCCATCCCACTCTCCGTCTCATACCCATGACAATGATTCTGCCAACCCTGGTTTTGTGTGTTTCCGTCCCTATGCAAAGCAGGAGAAGCAGTTGCAACCAGATTCCCCAGGACTTCTGGGGTCTCTCAACATCACAGGTTTCCAGGACAAGGGGCCCCTTAGTGGCACCAACTGACAAAGGCCAATAATTCAATGCCAGATGCTGGGAAAGTAAGAATTTTTTTTTTTTTTTGCTCGTTTTGCAAGAAAAGAAAAATGCCATTTGGCCTCAGAAAGATGTTCTTG